GTTGTAATACATGTCATGGTTATCATATAAATCACTCAAAACTTGATTTAAGTCATAGGAGCATGTAAATAAAAATTAATTAAATTAATTCATTAATCCCTCTAGATTTTTAAAACGACTCTAAATGACCTCAAATTAACATATGTTATGAATCAAGACATGGTCATGTTATTTATCAAGTCTAAAGTGAATTACATTCAAGTTACAATTAATCATTTATTTTTCATCTTAATACAAGACAAACATATAACTTAGATATTACTATAGGAACAAATAAAATCACTTGGAAGGTTAATGATAACACCCCCTACCTCACAAGAGGATTGTTCCTCTTGAATCAAAGGCAACCAAGCTTAAAAATGAAAAACCAAACAAGGGTTTTGTATAGGGGAGTGGGAGGAACCTAAAGTATTCCAAGTTCAAAGTTCTAAGGTGAGTGAAAGGGCACAAAAAATGAAGTCAAAGTTACTAGTCAAGCTTTTCTCCAATGGTGGCTTCCTTAGGATTCTTGAGAGGAAAGTGATGAATGAATTAAAGTGGTTTCACCACAAAATCAATAAGTAGCACCATAGGAATGTGACACTTGTCACATTTTTCAGAAATTGCAAAAAGGTCATTTTTGAAAATATCTTCCAAATTAATTTGCAAAATGGTCCCTAAGACGAAAAATAATTACTTTACTTAATTATCCAAAAACCCCTCAAGTTATAGATAATTACAAAAAGTCTTATTTTCATGACTTTTATACAGAAAGTAAGCATTTAATATGCATTTCTTCAAAAGTAAAAATGTAGATGTCATAGAATTTAAATATCATAAACGTATGCAAAACCAAAATCAAATCCGAGTACCAAAAATGAGGTTATGCAAGTAAAAGTGAAAAACGAGAAGAGGACGAAATAAGAAAAAGACGAAAAAAGATAATTTCCGAAAAAAGAAAGGACGTAAAATGACAGGGTCATTACAATTTTAAAATTCCTATTTAACAATGATTTAATTAATAAATTATGACCTAAAGTTTTGATACCCAAGGTGAAAGATTTATGAGTCCTAAGAGGAGAAGTAGAAAATAACTCCCCTGAAGGTTTCAAAACGAAACCGATGTCTCAAGCCTTGGTTATCTCTTCCAATGTCAACAGCCTCCTTGTCGCCGATGTCGTCCTCTTTATCTGATACGGCTTCTTCTTTGTCAGCCTTCACTTCTTCTTCTTCCCTCTCTCTTATTTTTCTAACGTGATTTTTTTTTTTAACAATACTACATTGGGTGTATATATAGACATATGTATACTCTAATCTTATTCCTAGTCTGACTACCCAATATAAAAATATAATAATTATCTTAAATAATATATATACACATATATCATATATCATATATATTATAATATATATATATGTATATTTCCTTCCATAATGATCATTAATTACTTAAATCATAAATACATATTTATCAATAAATAATATATATATATATATATATTTCCTTCCATAATAATTATTAATTAATCATATATAATTATGCAAAAATAATCATTTAAATATCTTTATAACCATGGGTTCTTATTAATTAACCCAACAAGGCTTCATTCAAGTCCAAGACCACATCCATTAGTCCAACTTTCCTTCAACCCAATCTAGTTAACTTAAATAAATAAAATAATTAAATTAAATCTATTAATTACAAATAATTCATAATTAAATCACACAAGCATAAACACATATACAGTCAAATAAACAACTCAATCATGACATTACACAAATCAAAACATTATATCAATTCAACAAGTAAAATACGAAATATAATTTAAAGAAAACAAGATAATTAAATAAAACACCAAGAACTCTATCAAATTAAAAGTAATTAAATTACTTGAATAAATCCTTTAAAAAATAGGGGTATTACAGATCTTCATACATATATTGAGCGTCTAGATTATGATTCTAGTTTGGTGGAACTTAGTTTTTTTTTTTTTTTTTTTTGGAAGTTAAGCAATTTTTTTTGGAAGTTAAGCAAAACCATGTTGTTTAAGTATGTTGAACACAAGGAATTTAATGATATATGGATTATATGTGTAAAACATAGTATGACTATAAATTGATGAAATTGATTTTTCTTACTTATTTCACACAGTAAATGAATCATTGATAGCATATTTACTTATTTTTGATGTCTTTGTTTTGGTCAAAGATGATGTTGACATGATTAAGCATTGTCTTGGAATTTAAACCTTTATGTGATTTAGACCAAAAGAGTGAAATAAATAATAATAATAATAATAAACTTGGAATGAAAAGTTTTGAGAAAAAAATTAATTGTTGTAGAAAAATGTGAGAGTTAAAAAAGGCTACCTTTAGGAGTTGTTCGAAGCTACCTTAACTTGAAACAAATCCCATAAGGGAAAGAGTTGGCTCCCCATAAGCGTGAAAGCTGCCATATGTGAAAAAAGAATAATAAAGCACAAAGAGAGTAAAAAAAAAGAAAAGAAAAAAAGAGAGGTCTTTTGCACATGTTGATTGTTTGATTTCTAAGGATATGTGATATCATTGATTTATTGTCTGAAATCTAGACAGTTGACATATCATATGTTTTGGAACTTGGTGGTGATTTTACTACACTTGCTAAGTTTTTGAAACTTAAATGAATTGATCTTGGTTATATATGTGTTGTTCATATAGTCTTGTGGAGTCTATACTCTTAGTGGATTCAATTTACAAGTTCTATATGGTTGGTTACTTCCTTCTTCTAGGATATTTCTTCCTTTCAACCCTTGTCAATTTCTGACAAAAAGGAGGAGAGAGTTGCAAATGCTATTATTCAAGGGGAAAGATACTTTTTCATTAAGGGGGAGAACACTTGATCATTGGATCATTGCATTTATTTATGCATTGATTTTCAGGCACTATTTTATGTTTGTGTTATATCTTTCTTGATTAAGCTTCACGGGTAGTTTTTGTTTGAGTTAATTTGAAGATTATTGGTTGGAGATACTATAAGTATTGAAGCTTCATGTGGTACAGTTCAAGAAAAGTTCCATTTATTTCTTTGACAAATTGTAATTTACTTTTTTTGCTTGGGTAGATTACATGTTGTTTTAGGGTTTTGTTATGAAATAGCCAAAGGGGAAGATTGTGAGAAATATATTTTGTAATTGACTAATTTCGTTATCAAAATAAGTCCAATCAAGTTGTAAAATTTCGGTTCAGAATTTCAAGATTGAGGATCGGAAGCGTATTTAAAGAAGTTCAAGTGTTCATGCTTCAATACACTCCGGAATGATGAGAACAATACTTTAGAAAGGTATGTGAGTGTGTGGGAACACTAAATAAGTTTTGGAAGGTTGAAACACAAGTTTGTAGGAAGTTTACATTCTGCCCAACTCGAACTGGTTCAAGATTATTCGAATATGTTTAACTAGAACTGATTGAAGATTATTCGAACAGGTTCAACATTCTGAGGCTTTTTGGATTTTTTAAGACTGGCAATCTTGATCCGGTAGGAGAATCCTGAACTAGTTCAAGAATCAAATGGATTCTTTGGATTTAGTACTGGCCATCTTGAACCGGTAGGCGATTTCTGAACTGGTTTAAGATTTCTGATTTGTTTTTGTAACTTTAGTTGCCTGATCTATTTTGATTCCTATTTGGGCTAGACTTCCTTCCTAAATCTTATGCATGAATTTGACTTGATTTCTAAGTATTCTTAGGTTTTCCAAACTTCTATATAATCTCTCTTTCATTCAACATTGAGGTATAGATTTGAGGAACGAAAATTCATTATTTTGAGTAAGCCTTTTGAGAGATATTTTTAAAAAAATCAAATCTGATTTTTCTGTTTTTATTTTGAGAACACCACATATATACATGAGTGATTTAGTTGTGTTGTTCTCTATCTCATCAGAATTGGAGTATAATTGAAGATTCAAAGATTCTGAAAAGCAGATCTATCAAATTCAGATCTTGAAAAAAAGGGTGAAGCGATCACACTTTGAAAAGGTCAGAGCATTTGAGGAGTGTTGTTTGATCTACCAGTAATCCTTCTACATAGATCAAGAGTAAGCTTGGAGTCAAGAGCTGTTGGATGAGATATCGCAAAACCAGAGGATTGTCAGCAATTGGTTTTTGGTAGAATGATAGGGTGTGAGCCTGAGTCAAAGTCCATTGTACTTTGTTTCATACATAATGGATCGTTTTTACTTTGGATTGCACAATTCACGAGGTTTTTTCTACAATAATTGATCTATTCTACAAATTGGGGGTTCCTCGTTAAAAATTCTGGTGCCGTCTCTCTAACTCTACTTGTTTTACTTTTCAGTATCTATCTTTGTGATTGTGGATGTTTAATTGATTATATTGCTTAGGTAATTTAATCAATCACAAAAATTGAGCAAGTTTAGCTATTAATCTCATCTAGGTCATTTAAGTAGTTAATCATAATTAAATTAACTAACAACTTCCGCACCGTGTAACTCACAGAAAGAGATTTGTTTTGTTGTAAAGAGAGAGAAGAAGACAACATAGGAGAGTCACGTTGGAGAATGATTGTGTTTCAAATTTATTTTTATTTTTTTAGACATGTAATTGAAACACATCATATCATATGGAGGATGAACTCCACCCTCCTAGAGGACCCCAAACATTGTCTTTATTATCATTGTTATTGTTTTATTTATTTAGGCTTGCATGTCTATTATAAACTGAAAAAGAAAAAATAACCAGATAAACTGTAATATTAATAACTAAAGTAATCATAGAAGACCTATTCACCCACCTCTAGGTCCATATCAGAGGACACTTTGTTTTAAAGCGTCGGGTTCGGTATGGTTATGTTTCACACACATAAACCCATCAGAATGCATATTGAACTGTGGTGATTCCATATCCAAGGTGATGGGGGTACGTACGTGGTGCAATGACCACCCTTGAATGTGCATTAGAACTCTCTCCAATCTTGAGAGGATTTAGGTTTTAAAATGTTCAAAACATAGTTAAGACTATTTCAATTGAAGAATAAATAAATTAAGGCCCTTATATGCCAAATAATTTTTATTAAAAGATATATATGATAAATGAATGTCATCTATCTATATCTACATACAAATGAAACAATAATAGTCAGAAACTCTCTTCTTCCCATATTCAGAAGAAAAGAAGAGAAGCATATATCTAAAATGCAAACAATGTGAATATATATCGCAAGCAGAACTTTGGCTTTCTCAACTGTTGTTTCACATGGCCAATCCATCTTCTTTAATTACATGTCGAGCTCGCATTGGAACAGGGGTGACACAAACGAATTCAAGCCACCAAAGATAATGTCATCTCCCTCAGTGTAGCTGCTAGAGTCATGACAGTCGAAATATGTCTGTATGTCATCAGGAAAGCTCCGTCGTGGTGGGTCAGACTCCGGAGGACTTAGCGGGCTATCTTCCACTGATGTCCTCTCCAACATTTCCCTAAACTTTGAGGACTGCAATAGAAGCCCTAGTGCCGACGAGGCAGTGGCCCCACTCATCGGACGTGGCAGAGGTGCGTCCGCTTCCGCGGAGCTAGGGCTTTGCTGTTGGTGGAGGAAGCTTAGTCCCAGCTCATCACTAGGGTTTGACATGGGATTAACATCATCAATATTGTTGGGGTCGGGGTTAGGGTTAGGGTTAGGGTTTTGGTTTGCTTGAGGGTTGTCTGGGTTATTTTCGTTGGGCTTTAGCCATTTGATGTAACGGCTGAGGTCAAAGTTGGTAACAGCGTTAAGTCCACGGTACTCTATAGCTGCCATGTCATACGCAGTTGCTGCTTCTTCTTGGGTAGCTGCAGAAAATAATGAAAGGGTTAAGGGGCAATATGGGTAATATATGTTTGATTTATAAAATAATAAAGTCAAGAATTTATTTGCATGATAGATTCGGTGGAGGGTTGAAACTTTATTTCACTGTTTGAAATATTAAATAGCAGACTTTAGCAGTTGGGAGTTGGTGATCCATATATATACCAACTAACTATGAACTGCACCTAATTACTTTTTACTTATTTCCTGATTTGCCATCCTGTATGTTGACTTATCAACTCACGCCATGCACGCACAAACATATGTATGTGTGTGTATAATATATATATATAATATAATATAATATAATATAATATTGTTTAATAATACCACACCTTTTATATACAGTCCTAGTTTATTTAAATATAAGTTTGTATGTATGATAATGTTTGGACGGTCCACATTGTAACTAACTTAACTGTATTCATTTGGCTTCACTTATTAGAACACATAGATTAAGAGACACTTGGTAACTTATACACTAATTTATATGCATATACATATATGATATATTATTGAAAAAACGATTAATGGTTATGGTCACAAAAAACGTAATCAATGAAGTAAAAACAAAAATATCACTTTTGTTTGTCTTTTTCTTTTGTTTATTTTATCAGATTATGAGAGAGATATGAATAGCTAGCAGATAACTAGAGGGAAAATATCTTATTTTCTTCAAATAAATAAAGAAAAATATTTCTAAAAGATGAGAGTGGAGATATGTTTAGGCATGAAATATTCATGATAATTATAAAAATAAAAAATAAAAAGAAAAGAAAAGAAAAGAAAGGAAAAGAAAATTACCATATGTTCCAAGGTAAAGATACTTGTTGCCAAACACCCTGCCAATCCGAGCCTCCCATCTTCCATTATGATGGTGCCTAGGCATTGAAGAAAAAATAATTTAATTGTACCGGTTGTAGTGATGACATATATCATATTACCACTTTACTATTTATTAAATTAAATCATTTTATCTTATATGAAGATATATTATTATTAATGATACAATTAATGTGGTATCACCGGAATTTTTTTCTCATACGACTGATAAATTTGAATTCCATGATCTCAAAATTAAAAAGGAAATAATATTGTGTTGGTCCATAATAACGGTGGTGGTGGTGGTGGTCACCATAGTACTCCTGACAATTTAAGAACGTATGGTACAACATTTATAGTTTTAGTAAATTTCTTGAATTCTTGCACATCTGGTACAACTAATCGATGTGACATTTGGAAAGGTCAAAAAAAAAAAAAAAAAAAAAAAATGGTTATTATTACTAGAAGTGAATGTAAAGCATAAAAACTTTGACCAAATTAACTTGTGTATCCCATGAAAATTGAGTTTGTCACAATTGATTATTTTTCGGCACTAGCAGTCTCAATTATATATCTTTTCTGACATTCGAATACACCTCGCAGTTCATATAATGTACAACACAAAAAAAAATGTTATTTTGAAGGTGCACATATCTTTTTTTTATTCTTTTTCACTTTATTAAAGAAGTACAGATAATTTGCTAGCGACAACCCTATGAAAAGTTTATTAAGCTAACAATTAATAGGAAATGAACCAAATTGAATAATATCATAATTAATATATACCTTGCTACCCCTCTGTATTTAGAAACTCCTCGCGAAAAACCGCTACTTTTTCTGCAAATAAGATTTAAAAATAAATAGGTTATGCATTTGCATAATCACTAAATATCGGATGTATTATATAAAATGTTGAAAAACAGAATGAATTTATTGACAAATTACAACGGCCACTGCAACATAAAAATGTTACAGTAGAGCATCGAGTCGCATATATATATATATATATAAATAAATGGGTATCCATTAATATTGATATCTACCTCCTCAAGGACCCAATATATTCTTCTTTGGACTGACTCTCCATTTCTTTAAGCTCTTCTTGGTATGCAGAAAGCTACAAAAATTAACAGTAAATTTCATTATTATAAAAAAAGTAATAATAAAAAAAAAACAGAATTAATAATGAAAACAATCTGAAATTTACTTAAAAAAAAAAAAAAAAATCAACTTATAAGAATGGGTTTGAGGTGAAAATGTTTACTGGGAAGTTAAGGATGGTGTCTTTTCCCCAGTACTTCAATGCTGCCAGATCATATGCATGTGCCGCGGCTTCTTCGTCGTCGTAGGCCCCTAATAAACACGAAACATTACTAATTATCCACTGAAGAACATCAACCTAGACTTGTTCATTATAAGTTTTAATGTATGTGGTGATTCAAAATGGAAATTTTGGAAGTATATATATAAGAGTTAATGCACATGATAATTAATATACTAGCCAAAACCTCACCTAAATAAACTGCATTTCAGTTGAATTCCAGCAGAGCCATCATCGATCATATATGGCAGAAAATATTTTAAATTAGTACACAAAAATTAAAAAAAAAAAAAAATGAGAGAGGGAAGAGAAAAAATTATTTAGATGATGAATAAACCTTGTCTTCCTTTCTTGTTCTGTGACTCATTCCAGCAGTTCTTGTCCCACAAGTGAGCTTCATAGCGACCGGTCCACCGGTGCCTGAATCGCCAAAGACCCAACCATATAAGAAAATCAGATAATGATCAAACAAAATGAGAAAAGACCCGCCATTTGCAGCATATAAATTAAGTAAAAACCTTGTGACACCCCTGTAGATCGAGCTACGCTGAGGCGGGGTCTCTCGTGGGACGCTCTTACGCGTTCGCTTCACCTTCGTGGTGGCTTTGTTGCCGTTGCTGCTGCTGGTGGTGGTGGTGTTGGAATTGTTTTTCCGGCTTTGTTGGGAAGTTTTTGCCATCAAATTAAGCCTTGAAAAGAGACAAAGGGGTGTCTGCCAACGTTAAGTAGAGAGAGAGAGACGAGGAGGGTGATGTAGAGAGAGAAAGTATATGACTGGGTCCTCCAATGGGAGGGCATATAAAGGAGGAGTGATGGGTGTGGAAATGGTTTGGGTTGGAGTATTTTTGGAATTAAGTAGGGGTGGCAAATTAAAGGGCAGAGCCGGCTAAATGTGGCCGTCTCTGAGCGGCCTAATTATGAAGTCTCTTCTACTTTGTCCTCACTCGCTTCTTTGTGTTATGTGTTGGTCGACTTGTATAGAGATAGATATTGATGGGTTTTGCTTTCCATCCCCTAAATTTTGTTATTTTGTTTAATTATTATCTTTTATTTTATTTTATTTTTTTCTCTCCAGAGACTGTGGGTGTGTATGTTGTGCTTAGATCTTTTTCACTTTTCACCATTTTAACTTTATTTTTTTGGGTTCACCCAAATAGATTAATTTAATGGTTTGTCTCGAAAGTCAAATTTAGATTCAGCAATCATAATCTAACTCGAATCCATTTTCATATTCATAAATATGATATGATCAAAATTAATAAACTAATTCAAACAAGGCCTGGATTGGATAATGGCAATCCGACCAAACCAAATTCTAATTGGGCTTAGATGAGGTATTGGAAATTCATAACCCATTAGAGTGTAACCGGTTTATTTTCTTATAATGCTATTCTTTTAAAAAAAAATTCAGGCCCATAAAGACTCTGAATCTCTTGTGGTTTGGGCCGCATGGCCATATAAAAAAACAGTAGAAGTCGAATAATATACTCTAGCCTAGGTACTAAATAAAAGGAAAATACCTTCCACCACTCTATGGTCTGGTTGATCTGATGCCGAAGAGAGATACTAAACATGACCCTATACTCTAGGTCCTGCCAGGGTGTCTGTCGGCTGGGTTGAGAAGATTACTGACCCTCAGATTGATTAACACTACTAAAATTACTTGATTATTCCCTCAATTGTGAACAATTGTAGGCATTTGCTTATTTATCAAAAAAAATTCATACTTATCAATTATATACTTCAATCCCCATCCAAATCCGAATAAGGATAAATATCTCCTCGCAACGCCCTTCTTACAGTCGGGCCACCATGCCTATCCGGGGTGGCTCACCCGGATGCCTTTCGGACCAGGCGTTTGACGTGACACTGGATCAAGGATTGAGTCTGTAATGAACAAGTCATTTTCATTCCTTTCCTTTTTCTCAAATTTTACGGATAAATTTTTTTCGTTTAATTTTCTTTTCCGAGTTCTGTTTCTCGTTATTAGGTGTCGTCTCGAGTGCTTTTAAATGGTTTCTGAGACTCTTTCGTTTGGATTGACAAATTCCTTAAGGACCGAGTCATTTTTACATTTTCACTTTTTGGACACTATTCATTTTTCGTCCTTTTTCCTATTTTGTCTTTTCCCGTTTGTCACTTTTTGGCATAACCTCATTTTTCATTCTTGGAGTTGGTTTTTGACTTCACGTACCTTAATCTTGAGTGGTTTCCACGAAATACGTATCTTTACTTTATAGAAAAGTAATCTGGTTGCTCCCGGTGTCTATAGGGACATGGATGAATAGTTCTTTGGAAACTTTTTCTTTTCTTGGAGTGTTTTTCCTAAATATCTTTTGAAGATATTTTATTTCAGGAGTTTTTAAGAAGAAATTTTCATTATGGCCAGTTTTGCAGTTAACCCTTTTTGTAGGGGCCATTGTGCAATTAACGAAAGTTATTGCAAAATATCTCGTTTTGAGCCTGAATCCTCGTATGGGATTCATTTTCACTTTTCGTCGACTCGTGAACTCTTAGAATTTCCTCCCGGTCGTTTTCCCTAGGTTTAGGGATTTTTTATCCCAGTTGCCGCCGAACTTGTTCGGGGCATATCTCTCTGCTCGGGACTCATTTTTCAATACTGTTTCTTCCGTTGTTCATATTTTATCATCTTGGTTCTTTTTCGTTCACGGAGTTTTGTCGTTTAAGTACGTCTGCTCAAATTTCACTTTTCCGGACCCGGCGGGGCCCTTTCGGGGCACTTTTAGGGTTTTATTATAAATAAAATGTCTTAAAGTGAAAAATCACTTTTTTCATCATCTTTCTCCATCTTTGGCGGGCAGCCATGGCAGCTCCTTGGGCTGCAACCTTTTCTTCTTCTCCTCCACTTGATTTCCTTTGTAAAAAGTCTTCCGCCTCAACGTTTATCGTAGGCCTCGTCATGTTCTACCTTTCCCCCTTATTAGAATCCATTTCTGACCATTTTTGAGTTCGGGTTTCAAGTTCAGGTTTGGATTTTCATGCTGCCTCAAAGGTTAAAGTTGTTCCTCTCGTTGTCCCCAATATAACCTAAGAGTATCGTCGGATTCAGAGTATTTTTCTTTTAGTGGGGATTTGAGATTTTCATCTTAAATTGCGGTAAGGGGATGTTATATTTTATATTCTTGATGTATTGCATACTATTGATGCTTATACAACTCATTTACTTGTCTTTGTATTAAATCTAGAGATTTTATTATTTATTTTTCTTGTGTAAGATTTGATTTTTCCGGTTGGTTATACCTTGGTTTAAACATGTGGTATGATATTAAATTACACCTTGATATGATCATTGACATATATTAAATTGAAAGCATTTGGACAAGTATTGAAATTTTTATTTAATATTTTTCTTGAATGAAAATTTAATTCATGTGGCCTTATCTAGCTTGAAATTAATATGTAATGTCATTTATATTAGGTCCTAACATACTCTTCAACATATGTAAAATTGAGAGTAATCGGAGATGTTTTAAAATCTAGAGATAATTAATTTATTTGATTAATTAAATTATTCCAATTGTACTATTCACTCCATTGGATTTTCGACTTGATATTATTGATGTGCATGCCATATACTTTCACAAATATTAAATTGGTAATATTTGATGAGGTTTTGAAACATTTTATTTATTATTTTTCTAGTATGAAGGCTTAATTATCATAGTTGTAGCTTGCATGGAAATCACTTGTATTAGGCTATTAAATCAAGTCTTAGCATGTTTTATAACATACTTTAATTTGAGAGCATTTGGATGGGTTTTAGAATCTAGAGAATTTAATTAAAAGAATTAATTAAAACCTATTTAATGGTTCTATGAGCTTGATTAAGTTTCTAACTTGGTATTCATGATTTCCTTGACAAATTCCTTCACGTGTATCAAATTGAGAATAATCGGATAAGTTTTGAAACTTATATTTAATCATTTTTTTTGTATGGAATTTAATTCACATGGTTGTACCTAGCTTGGAATAAACTTACAATGTGATATTAAATTAGCTTTAATATGTTCATTAACATATATGAAAATGAGAATATTTGAATGAGTGTGGATAACTTTATTTAATTATTTTCTTATATGAAGTATAATTTACCTAGTTGTGAGTTAGGTAGAAGTAACTTGTAAAGTGTTATTAAATTAGGCCTTACCATGACCTTTAACTTATATTAATTTTAGAATATTTGGAGTTACTTTGTAATCTTGAGAATTTAATTATTTAATTTAATTAAATTCCATTATATACTTCCATTGAGATAGTTAGGTATTGAAGTTGTTTTCATATGTAACTTGTAAATTTAGAACTTGTTGTATGACTACATTATAGTATTTCATGAGTAGAAGTTATAGTTTAAATTGCTTATATACACATTATATATTTGACATATCGTATGTCATTATAGTTTGAAGACATAGGATGAATATTGTGTGTTTTACTTGACTTGTTTGTGCATGGTAGTTGACTAATATATTGTGTATATGTATTATACCTTAATGCACAACTTGTTAATTTTAGGAAAGCTTACAAGGACATTGTAATATGTTACGGCTAAGGTATGGCTCTAGTACGGGGGATGAGAGCTCCCTCTACAACATATAGTGCGCACTAGGTGGTTCCCTGAGGGCTAGTAACCCTAAAACACCAATATACGGTTTAATTCTGGGTTTAGTGCACATTAGGTAGTATCTTGCGGGCTAATAACCCGAGATCAGCTTGTTTGGTCATTGAGACCGTATGTTCTTGTCTTTCCGCCACTACTTGATTTCGCAGTCAATTTCAAGTTGTTTAATGTGGATTATTTATAGCTTGCAATGTGGTATTTGACATTTCAATTAGGTGTAGTATACATGTGCTTAGTATACTTGCATGCCTTGCTTTTCAATACAAGTTAATAGCACTAAATTGTCATAACTTGTTGTTCTGTATTTTAGATTTCAAGTTGTTAACTTTGATAATCTATGCCTTGATGCGTTGTATTAGAAGTTCTAATGTTAGTTAAAATTGCATTGATATTGTAATTTGGGTATTAATTGTTTAATGTAGCCCAGGATGATTCCTTAGACTCATTTGGAACATAGACGTTAGGTGGTATGAACCGTTTCGGTTGTTTTCGTATTTTAGGTTGCAAGTTGATAACTTTGAATACCTATGTCTTGTTGCGTGCATTAGATGCTCCTATGTTGTTAAATTGCATAGATTTTATGCTTCATCCTTGATTTCACTTTTTAAATTTTAGGTAGTATTTCTTGAAGATTTAAATCTTATCGTGTTGTGTGGAATGTCCTAACCTTGTTCAATTTCATAGATACCTTGATTCATGTTGCTTTATGTTGATACGACTTAGGAATGATCCTAGGTAAACATCTTAACTTAGATTCCAGGTAGCATGAGCCTCTTTAACATGTTTCACCTTAAGGTGATAAATTTGTGAAATGTTAGGTCTTTGCATGCTTATCTCTTACGAGTAGCTTTATGTTACTCACCCCAAAGTTACCAGGGACATTTTTCAGGTACGAAGACTTGGTTCGTGATGCTCATCATTCCTTGGATGACTTGTAGCTTTTAAGTTTCCATTTCATGCAAATGTTAGCATAAAATGTCATTTTGTAGCCTTATATGTCTAAACTTGTATCTTTGATTCCATATATGTAATATGTACATAGGTACACATTTTACGATGTATTTGACTTGTGTGAGATGAGGCTGGAGGCCAATGACATTTATATTGCATCTTATGTAATTCTTGATTTTATGAAATGTTATGAAAACCTTAAAAATTCGTAAGTCATTGCTTCATTACTTTTGTATCGGGTGTGGGAATTCCATTTTTATTCTTTCATAGAGTCTCATTAATCTTGTATGAAGTATGACCAAGGGCCAAACGGCAATTTGACTCTATTTTATATTTTTAGTTTTCAAAATTCTGATTCCAAGTTCATTTTATCATTTTTGGCTGTCGGGGGGTCAGATTTTGAGTCGGGGCTTCTTGGGAGCCGCAGACCATTCCCGCGCACTTAGAATCATTTATTACACTTGCGTGCACATTCGTTTCAACCCAGAAATGCATTTA